TGAAAGCGGCACAGGATAGACAAAGAAGTTATGCAGATAAACGTCGGAAGCCAATTCAATTCCAAGAAGGTGATAGAGTGATGTTAAAAGTATCACCTTGGAAAGGAATGATACGTTTTGGAAAAAGAGGAAAATTAAGTCCAAGATATGTTGGACCATTCCCTATTATTAGAAGGATTGGGGAAGTGGCTTAAAAATTAGAACTTCCATTGGAATTAAGTGGGATTCATGACACGTTTCATGTGTCGAATTTGAGAAAATGTCTAATAAGTCCAGATGTGGCAATACCATTACCTGAAATTAAGGTAGATGAAAAATTATGCTATGAAGAAACCCCTAAACAGATTACTGACTACAGAGTAAAGAAGTTGCGAAACAAAGAAATTGGGTTAGTAAAGGTTCAATGGCGTTATCACAAAGGACCAAACGCCACATGAGAATCAGAGTCTGAAATGCGGATGAAGTATCCTTACCTTTTTGCTTAAATGGAATTCCGGGACGGAATTCTTTTAAGGAGGGAATGTTGTAATATTCAAGTTTCAAGTTTTGATTTAAGATTTTTGAACATATATATATATATATTTATATATATGTGTGTGTGTGTTAGTATTATGTGAAGATTTTTAAGGTGTGTATATTGGGGAATAATTTTAAAAGCAAGGGGGAGTCGGCTGGAGACACCGCCCAACTTGTTTCCTTATTACTATATATAGAAAACTTTTGTCAAGATAAAAAGGTTACACTCTTGTTATAATAGGAAATCCTTCTTTTGAATCATACGAATTGGCAAAGAAGAAGAAGAGAATTCAGGATCAGGATTATTTGTTTAAGGTGAGTGTATATTGCTGTAAAGTATTGGTTATTACATCTTTTAGTGCTAGAATCTACTATTTATGAACTACATTTCATAAATATTTAGTTAAGTCTTTAAACCGGACAAAGAGTGTCCGGAGTTCTCCTTAAACCGGTCAAGAGGTGACCGGATCTCATCTAAATCGGTCAAAGGTTGGRCGATGTATTGTCCGGATTGTTTTAAATCGATTAAGTTGTGAGCGGGGTATTGTCCGGACTTATTATCCGGACAAAGATATTGACTTAATTCTAAGTGTTAACCGGACAAAGCTTATACAAGGTTGACTGGACTTCAAATCCGGCTAATGTGTTAAACTTTTGAGATGTAATGGCGGTGTAACCGCGAGAGAGATGTAATGGCGGTGTAACCGCGAGAGAGATGTAATCGCGGTGTAACCGCGAGAGAGATGTAATGGCG